GATGCTCAAAACTTGACAAACTCCCGGGGGAGATGGAGGCTTTAGAGTATCTTGACTTGGCGGGAACTGTTTTAAAAGAGCCGCTTGTTATGATGAAAAACCTCAAGTTACTATCTTTACGTGGGTCAATTGCTAAACCAAGACGCTGGTTGGGCCTTGCTGGCTTATTTGGAATTAGAAAGAGTCCTGAGCCTTGCCCTCAGCCTTGGGGCTTGGTGTTGTCTTCTCTTAATCGTTTATGCTCTTTATTGGAATTGGATCTAAGTGATTGTGATCTAAGTGAAGGGGATATCCCCGATGATATTGGTTGCTTGTCCTCTTTACGAGAGTTATATCTTAGAGGAAACAATTTTGTGAGCCTTCCTGCAAGCATTAGATGCCTTTCTCAGCTTTGGTGTTTTAACTTGGAGAGGTGCAAAAGGCTTCAACTACTGCCAGATCTTCCATCAAATAACGAATTACACGTAAATGTAAATGATTGTACTAGCTTAAAGAGGTTGTCATATCCATCAAAGTTGAGCAGCAGATTCCCCAATTTGTATGATTTTACTTTCAGTGCTGTTAATTGCTTTAGCTTGGTTGAAGATGAAGGCTGGAGTGCTAGAATAATTTCAACAATAATGAAATTGGCCACTAAGGTACACACACACACACACACACACACACACACTCTCTCTCTCTCTCTCTCTCTCTCTGTGCATAAATGATATTGGGGGAGGTGGGGAATTGAACCTAGAATCTCGGGTGCAAGGGAAATATTCTTAACCACTTGACCTACAAACCCCTTGCATAATATGTAATGGTTCTTTTGATGCAGGGAATGTATCCAGATTTGTACGATAAGTATATTGTATTCCCTGCAAGTGAAATTCCAGAGTGGTTCAATGTTCAAAGTGAGGGACATTCACTAAATGTGGAGCTACCTCCAGAATCATGCACCAGCTGGCTGGGGATTGCTTTTTGTGTTGCTTTCGCAGATCATCAGGAAAACTTGGGAAATTCAACATTCCTTGATGACTTTGATTGTTTCAGAATTCAATGTTCATCCGGTCCGTGTTGGACTTTTGAGAAGATAGGCCATATTCTGTCACCACACATTCTGGTATTTTATTTGCCTCGTGATTACTGTTGGGAACAGTTTTCATTCGAAATGTATTACGGCACATCTAGAAATTTGAACATATTTCTGACATGCTTGAATAATGTGAACAAGTGCGGGGCCCGCTTGGTGTACGAGCAAGATTTGGAAGAAGAACAACTGAACTGGACACTGAAAATGCTGAAGCGAACAGTGCAAGAATATGGTTGTGACGGGGCAGGTCCGAGTGGTGGAAGTGGTAGCTTTGACGACAGTATTGAACCACGCTGCAAAAGAATCAAGCAAGACTAAATTGTACTTTCTTTTGCTTTTGGCGAGAAGAGAACAGGTAAATAAAGAGAGCATCCCATGAAGGAAGTTTCCTTGAAGTTTGTAAGTGTCAGTATGTTTTGTGGCTTTGATAAATAAAAGTGAATCCTTCCTTGATGCCTTGAGCCGTATCTTTACCGATTCTTTTGTTTTAATCTACGCATCCATGCAAAACAAGGGTTGCAATGCAAACCGGTGAGTTTTGGTGGGAAAAGGAAATAAGGATTACTCATCCACGTGAGGGACTTGTAAATACATAAATAATTGATGTAAAAAGACACAAAACAAGATGATATATTCCCACGTCGGAGAATACAGGCCAAGGTTTAAGTCCCATCAGCGCACCAAATTTCTGCATTATTAGGCAATTACATGGTGGTGGTCCAGTTCGGATTGGAAAAATTTACCAATTTGGCCAGTTATCTGGCCAATTTCAATGGTAACAATTAGAAAACCGGACCTACCCATCAGAACTTATCCGGTTCAGTCGGTTTGGCCAGGTCTTCGGTATAAATGCCCAGCCCTAACATAATTGAAGCAACAAGGCATCATGGAGCCATATATATTTTGCAGGTATAATCTCGTGTAATCCAATTTTCATAATCTGCATTGAGTAGAAAAATATAGAATATTTAGGGGTGGAGAGGAAGCATTGGGAGGAGGAGTGGAGGCTACATGTATATTAATTTTAATAAAGAAGAGAGAAAAGGAACAACAGTGATTGCAAAGAAAAATTATTGATTGTATGGTGTGTACAGTGGTCTAGAGCTATATATATACACTAAATTTGAGTAGAAGCAATCTAGAATAAGTTTGTTGCAAGGAATATGGAGATGCTGCCAAGTGTAGGTGAATGATGCAATTGGCCCTTTTCTCTAGTTCTTCTACAACAGTGATGAGGTGTTCTCCAGCTGTGCTTCATTCTTTGCTTGCTTCTCTGTGTGTTCCTGGTTCGCTGTGATGGAGGATTGAGAGTTTGCTGCTTGCTTTATTGCTCTGTTTATTAGCATGCACTGTATGCTGCCCCTGCATGTGTTTTTGAGTTTCAAGGGTGACATTCTCTTTCTTCATAGGTATATGAGGGATGGGTGGAGTAGGAAAGACTAATGGAAACATGCCATTTCTTGTATCAAGTCATGGATCTATATCTGATAATGCTTCTCAATAGATTTAAGGCTTCTCAACGGCTGAGAGTGAAAACACTCTGAACTATTTAGAATCCTTATCAGATATGTGGATGCATGACTTGATACAAAAATGACATTCACAATTGTTCGTTAGGAGTCTAAAGAGCCTGGTCGATGCAGTCGATTGTGGCTTCGTGACGACATTGCTCATGAACAATATGGTAAGAATTTATATAGATATAAGACCGAACTGGGAACAAACTATGACTTCTTTTAGCAAGATATTGGACAAAATCAGCTTACTTTCATTGCTTACTTCTTATGTGGTATCTTTTGTAATGGTTTTCCTTTCTTAATCTCATTTCAGTTCTCTGGAAAACAAGTTGGCATTATCGGCTTAGGAAGCACTGGCAAAATTAAAGCTTGGCCTCAGACTCTTGCATTTTGATCGTTGTGTGAATCTCTGATCACTTCTGAAGAGACCAATGACATTGTCAGATGTTGACGTCATCGATGCTTTGGGTCAGGGTGTTCTCATTAACACTGGAAGAGGTTCTCATGGTGAAGAACCTCGGTGTCTGCACTGCTGGATATTTATGAGAATGAACCAACCACAAGTTCCTGCTCAGCAATGTAATACTGTGGCAGATTTAATTTGTTTCAATCAGTTTTATAAGTAACGGAAGCACGTTATAGTCCAGAAATAGCAATATTTTCTCTGCAAAACAAAACAAATTCCGTAAATCATTGTGCATTATGTTATACAGAATTTGAGAACATGTCAATCCTCTTTAGCTACTTTAGGATTGATTGGCGGTGTTTTAGAAATCAGAGAAGGAAGCTGTCATGGAAAACAGAGAGTATCTCATTTCTATTTGACATCAAAACATTCTAATGATTCTTCTAATAAATTGGCCAATCTAAGAACTATATTAGGACAAATTATGACTACAAAATCTACAAACTACTGCAACTAAAGGATTCTCAGGTCCCCAGTCAACAAGACGCTCCTAGCTAGTCTGTTACAAACTGCGCTGAAATTTCTTCTCTCAAATCTGAGGTTACTCGATCTATTATGAGCTACTAATCTTTGCCAAAGTGGCTCTTGGGGGTCAAATATTGTACATCATCGAGTTCAAGACTGGGCCGAAGACCACATAAATTTGGGATTTCTTCAGAATCATCAGGAAAAACAGGCCTAAGGTTCACTCTTGGTTTGCTTGCTGGCAACACAGGAAGTGGCACTTCGCCTTTAAGAATCCTCGCTGCTTCCTTCATGGTTGGCCTCTTCACATGGTTTGGGTGCACACAAGCAAGTCCAGTCATCAGTGTTCTTTCCATCTCTACCATATCGAACTTCCCCATCAACCTCCGATCAGCAGCTTCAATCAGTTTCCCATTTTCCCACATGCCCCAAACCCAATCAACAACCACTGTTCCATCATCCTCCACCGGCTTTCTCCCTGTTGCCACTTCTAACACCACCACACCAAAGCTATAAACATCAGTTTTAACAGTTGGAACACCTGAATAAACATATTCAGGAGCAAGATATCCCATTGTCCCAGCTGGTATAGTTGCGTCTCTTGCAATGGAACTATGTTCGTACACTTCTGCTAGACCAAAATCCCCAAGTTTGGCATTAAAATCTGCATCAAGCATTATGTTGCAGGTCTTAACATCTCTATGTATTATTTGCCTCTCACACTCCTCGTGAAGGTATGCAAGAGCAGAAGCAACTCCAAGAACTATATTAAGTCTTTGCTTCCAGGATAGAACAACTGAGGAATTGAAGCTTTTGTGGAGAATTTTGTTAAGGCTTCCATTTGGCATGAGCTCATATACCAGGACTAACTCATTACCCTCACAGCACCATCCATGAAGCTGAACCAGATTCTTGTGTCGCAAACAACCCACCATAGTTGCAAACTCAGTAGTAAAAGGACTCCGCAGACAACCAATCTTATCAGCCCTCTCAAACCTCTTGACTGCCACTTCTCCACCGGATGGCAGAGACCCTTTATAAACCTTAGCTGATGCCCCTTCCCCAACAACTCTGTTTCGGTTAAATCCCATTGTAGCTGATCTTATCTCTGCAAGTGACAAACTTGTTGGAACTCTTTTTGCCTCAACTCTACAAATTTGGCCTTCTCGGCTCCTTCTGGCAATGACCTTTCTCTTCTTCACACATATAAAACAAATAACAAAAAGAAATGCAAATATAGAGAAGAGAAATGCAGCTAAACCTCCCAACCCAAGAGCCATCTCCACCATCTTTGTTTTTCTTTCATGAGAGTGATCAACAGGGCTGCTGTTGATACTTGAATCTTCTGGTGAAGAGCACATGAAACAGTCCCCTTCTTCAACAGCATCCATAGGAATCCCAGGTGGAAGAGACCCAAAAGTCTTGAATTTCCATCTGTCAACAATGTGAATTGAAGAGCCCTGCCCATTAGAAGCAGAAAACCCAACACGCATGAACTCCTTGAATTGCTTGGAGAGATCAATCTGAGCAACAAGGAGAGGAGTTGGAGGCCTAGTTGACGAATACCCGACCCAAACCCGGATCATCTTGATTGCATCTCTGTACTCAATCCAAGCAGTAATCTCTCTCCCACTTGTCAAATCAATTCCTCTTGAAACAACATCAACAGAAGCTACAGAAACAACTGTGTTTATATCAATGCCAATATGATTCCCATTGATGTCACCAACCATAGGGTCAAATCTGGTATCAAATTCCACAGCAAAGAATGATTCTTTTGAAGTTGACATTGTCTCTGGAAGGCCCATGTACCCTCTAGAGGAACTGAGAGAATCCACATCAGGGGTGATGACAAAGGCAATGCCATCTCCACAAGAACACAATTGGGAACTTGGTGTGATTGAGAAAGAGAAGCGGCACAAGAAAGAAGCAGTGACATTGGTTTTAGAATCAAGAAACCGGATTGGGTAGGCATAGAAGGCTCTTCCAATCCCAGAAGTAGTGGTAGAAGAAGAAGAAGAGGGGCAGGTGGTGAGTTCTTGAGTGAGGCTAATGGCATTGTTGTTGATGTAAGCGTCACCTGAGAGCGTGACATTGTTTGTAGCAGGCGAGAATGGGACAGAAATTGAAGGGCATGTGAGGTTAACGAAGAGAAAGAAAAGGACCCAGATGAGAAATGGATGAGATGAATGCATTACTGTAAACCAAACGGGAACATAGCAACTTTCTCGGGAAAAAATGCAGAAACTTTCTCGGAAAAGAAAAGGGAAATAGTGATAAAGTACCAAGATTTTCCTCCCTTCTTTGTGTCTGAATTTCTGTGAATGCTTGACCCAATCTTGATACTTGAAGTTTAACGAGTTGCAGACAGGAGAGAGAGGGAGAGGGAAAAGAACCCCATTTGATTGATCAAGAAATACCCAAATTGAGTCCAAGGCCAGACTCTGTTAAAATGCGTTGGTCCAGGGGCACTATGGGTGTGTGAAGAAATTTGTTGGGTGGCATTAGCATGTCCTGGGTTTAACACTTAAAGAATAGACAAATTTATAAATAAACTCAATCCTAGACATGTATTTATAAAAAAACCCAAGCACTATTTAAACATAGAAACACACCCAAAATCAACCCTAAAGTCAACTTTTTGGGTGTGTTTATAAATGGGTTTTGAGTGTGTGTAATGATGGGTTTTGGGTGTGTTTATAAAATGTTTTGGGTGTTGGGTTTTTTTATAATTTCAACCTCCATTTTGGGTGTTTTAGTGAAACTCCCCAATTGAAAAACAAAAAAGAAAAGAGCCCCAAATATGAAACCATTCATAAATCGTAATTTCGCTCCAAATCATAAGTCCTACAATGATTACAAGAAAAAGAACGGTCATTTGCTTGTTTTTTCTCAGCTAAGATCTTCTTGTTTTTATCAATCAAAAAATATAAAGTGTCAATATGTCCTTTTAGAATTTAAGGGGAATATGACAATTAGACCACCAATTCACTAACTTTCATTTTTCCACAACTATCCAAATTTGTTTCACCCAATTATAACTTCATATTAGTTTTCAACACATTTTTCAATTCGAACTCACTAAATCGTATCTCCCTACCGTATTGTTTTTCGAAATCAAAATCAAAATGGAAGTCGAATGAAGATAAAGATGAACATTCCATAAGCATAACATGACCTCCTTGGGAGATTTTCCATGAAATGTTCAACCTTGTCAGTGCATGTGACTTAGATAAGACGTGTGGTATGCCTTATTTTGACATGTTTTCACCCAATACTTGGTTCTAGATTTTCCCTTTCCCACAAAATAATATTTCTATTTTCCACTCTTGATTCGACAAAACCCCAGATTTTTTGACAAATTTGGATTTCTTGAGTGATTGTTTTCCTCTTATGACCAAAAAGAAAGATGACCTCTGCAAAATCCTAATGTTCTTGGCTCCTCCTTGTCTCTCACTCTCACATTCTCTGAGTTCAGTTTATTTCACAGAAAATTTTAGGGTTTCAACTTCCATGTTGGAGTTTTAAGCTACTTGCAAACTATGGTATGTTTCTTCGCCCACTACCCATTTGAATTTTGGCTACATTTTCCAATTAAATTTCATAGTTTGCTTTTGAAAAGTTTTGATTTACTTGAATGGTCCTTTGTCATGTTAGTAGTAACTGTCTTGATGATTTTTTTAAAGCCTGTTGAGTGTTTGAGGGAGTGTGATTATGGACTTTTTCGTCAGAAAGATTGCTTTTTGAAGTAGAGTTTTTGAGTGTGAAGTGGTGGGTGTTCTGGGGACCCTTTACCTGTTGCATTTTGTTGCATTGGTCTCCTCCTTTTAGTTTTGTGGTCAGAAGAATTTTGCTTTTATTGTGAAAGCGATAGATTTGGTTGTGTAACTTGAGACTGGTTCCTAATAAGTCAATGTCATATGTGCTGTGTGTTTGCTCTGTACCTTATTTAATAGGATCTTTTCTTCTGTTTACTGATTCATCCAATCTTCTTCTTTTTCATGTTCTCACATTATTGTAAACCTTTTTTTTGTTTTCTTTAAAGAACTTTCATATTGAGAATGGCGATAGCATACTAAACTCACACACACTACACAGATGCTGGGACTCAAACCTAGGGCCTTTTTTGGGGAAACAATTGCTCCAAACCACCACACTAGTGGGTTTTTTACTGGTAAACTTTTAAGTCTCTATTTTTGTGGTTGCTTCTATGCATCCAATTATTGAGTTGAGTAAATATTGGGTTTGTGGTGTGTGATTGTTTGTTTTGTTATTTTGCGCTACTAATCTACAAATAGGGGAGAAACATGCTAACGTTAGCTATGAGTTGCTGCAGATGACTGTTTGTCAAACGTGTGGTGATGGTGACAGAAGCTATGAAGATGGTTTGATCTACTGTGAAAAGTGCCTGAATTATGCTATTATTGATCTGTATTGTTTCCATTTTTCTTTTGTTTGTGTGTTCTTTTTTTCTTTTTAATTCAATGAAAAAGAAGTGTCATTACTGTGATTTATATACCACATTATCCTGAAATAATTGCTCCATTTCCTGGTTATTGAAGTCTGAATTTTGTCCTTAAGAGTTAGTTGTTCGAATGCAAGATGCATGCATAAAGGGGTTTTATCCCAAGTGATCTCTGAACTTTTCCTAAGTTTTTATATGAGTCTTTATAAAGGGGTTTTATCCAAGTGATCTCTGACCTTTTAATAAGTTTTTATATGTGAGTCTTTAAGGGCCCGTCTGGTAACGTTTTCGGAGAGTGTTTTCTAAGAATATTTTCAGAGAATGAAAACAAGAAAACAAATTTGCATTTTCAGGAAATGAAAATGCGTCTGGTAGATTAATTAGAAAACATCTTCAGAAAACAAAAACAATGAAAATGTGTCTGGTAATACAATTTGAAAATAATAATATGTGACTTATTTTCAATTGTATTTTTGCTAATTTCAGTTTTTTTTAATAAAAAAAATCTGCCATTTTTCGAAGACAAAAATTTATAAACAATAAAAAAAAATGTATAATTTAACAAATAAAAAATTCTAATGTTTTTTTTAAGACAAACTATCTTATCTCATTTCTTTTTGAGTGGTGATTTTCCCACTCATTTTTCTCCTATTTTATCCACTTACACTCCTTTTTTATAACTAAAAAAGGAGTGTAGGTGGATAAAATAGGAGTGGGGAAATCATTGCACTTCTTTTTCTCTTTCTCTTTCTTTCTTCCTTTCCTTCCTTCCCAGGCCCGTGCCCTTCTTTTTTCTCTTTTTCTTTCTCTTTTCCTTTTTTCTTCTTCTATTCCTTCCCAGACTTTCTTTTTTCTTTCTTCCTTTTTCTCTGTTTTCTCTTCTCTTCTTTATAGATTCTTTCTCTTCATCTTCCTCTCTTATTTTTTATTTTCTTCTTCCTCTCTCTGATTCTTCCTGTTCTTCTTCTCTCTTCATACCCATCCTCTCTCTGTTTTCATTTGTTAATGGTTGGTGGTGGTTCGATTGGGTGGTGATAGTGGTTCAACTGGGTTTGTGGCAGTTATGGGTCGATTGCTTTGGTGGTGATCGTGCTTTGGAGGTGCCGGTGCGGCAAACTAGACGATGGGTCTGGATCGGGGGAGATGGGTTTCCACAGTGGTGCTCCTCAGTTGAATTTTTTTTTTTTTTTTTTTGGGTCTGGTGCTTGATAAGTAAATCACGATTTTAGAGATTTTAGAAGAAGAAGAATAGCTATGGAGAATTTCAAAGACAAGAATCGATGTTGATTGGAGAAAGAGAGATGGAAAAAATGAATTATAGTATGGACTGAAAATGAAAACGTTGAAAATGAAAACAACATAATTTCGTTTTCAACTTTTGTTCATGAATTGGATTTGTTTTTGGAAAATATTTTTAGGGAAAACAGAAGCGTTCCACCGAACAGGTTTTTGCCAGAAAACAGGAAATGAAAACAGAAAACGGGCCGTGAAAACGATACCGAACTCGGCCTAAACTTCTAAATCAATCAAATGGTCTTTTGTTCCACTCGTTAATTTGATCCATGTAGTTACATTCCGTCAAAATATTCATTAAAATTGGTTGCATATTCACTAAAATTGGTCACCTAATAGCACGTGATACACTTTAAAGTGTTATTTTCGTCAAAATATAACATGTCCACCAATGAAGAAAAAGGTAAATGTTACTTATTTTGCTCAACAAGGCTATTTACTCTCCAAATTATGTGGAACTCAAACGTAAAATCCTAAATAGAGAGAAGATGGTCTTGTAGATAAAAAAATGCGAGTTTTAGAACTAAGATAACTTATATTTTGATGAAATACCTTTTAAGTTGGTAAGTTTTGTCGGAATTTGACTAGAGGGACCAAATTGTTGTGTAGACCAAAAAATGAAGAATCATATGAATTGAGGACTTTAAAAAAGTTCAGGGATCACGTATGATAAAAACCGCGACTGTAATGATGGTGAAAGTTGAAGTTGGATTAGTTCTTGAAATCAAACTTTAAAATATAAGAGCACACAAAATGAACTTTTTCAAATTCTATGAAATCTTAGCTGCATGAATTCTCAATTTTTCACTTTTTAAATGATTTTGCATGGATTGGTGATTAACTGATGGCTCTTTTTCTTTTTTCTTTTTTAAATTTATATATTTCTATCCAGCTATTGCCTTGATCTGCCAGCAGAAAATATTTTGATGAAGATATGACTTGGCTTTGTGTGGATTGTGAACCAAACAATGTAAAGCTTCTGCAAATGATAAATCGGTGAGATCAACAGAAAATCATCTGAACAAGATGTTGAAGAAGTCGAGGTTTAAAAGGAAGAGTAATATATATGTTGCTGAAAAGGAGCAGATACGTGAAGGTGCTAAGAAGAAGATGAAGACATGTGAAAGTGAAAGGGCTAAAACGAAGGTGCATGGATATCACATGTGAAGAAGGGGGTAAAATGAAGGAGCAGATATGTGAAGGTAGCTCTTCTGAACATGAGGTTGAGAGTAGTAATAATTGTGACCATGGTCAGAATGTTGGTAATCCGTGCACAGAGGTTCTGAAAGATCAGTTCAATTCTTTCCACGACGTTGCCAAATCTGTAAAAACGCCTCAAATTACTACTAGTGATGCTTTAGAAATCACATAACACAATTCTTATGTTGCTGCAAAGCCTACTATTGATCCAATCTTGAGGTAAAAATTTATTTCCTTTCCGCCTCCTTCGAATTTATGGTGGGCAGGGTATAAATCGTGAGCTACGCTTATAATTATGTATCCTAAGGCATTCAAATTGGGTATCCTAAGAGCATCCACAATGGACTCCCTAAACCACCTCCTTAAACAA